TACTAGCTATGACTAGATAAAGTTGTTTCGGAGGAGGACAAGGTATCAAGGGCCAGCAGTATTCAACTTCTAGTGAAACCAAAAAATAGATCAGAATGGACATTTAACTTCAATAGTGAGATGGAACTAGCAGGAGAACGCCGAAGTAACTTGATAGCTTCCTGAACATACTCTACATAATCATTTATAGGAACTTGAGTAGATGAATCTCAATGAAATTCCTCTCTCCGTCATTTCTAAGTCTAACAAACTTTAAAATATATCTTTCACATTTTCCGTGTTTCACACACTTACCTAATCTATCAAAGTAATCTTCAAATAGTAAAAATTGTTGGGTATTTTGAAGGGGGATTCCCTGGGGAGATACAACACCAATGAGATATGAACCTAACTCACATAAAGAATTGACACCACCTTCAACCCAAAACCTTAAGATAATGAGTTATGTGTATTTCTTCCTTATATGTTGTTCAATTTTATCATTCTTACTCAATGTGAGACTTAAACTCACACTTGGATTACCCAACAATCTCCCCTTCAAGTGTGAGTCATTTTATATTGGTACATCGGTACAAGGACCACTCTTAAAATCATCGACTTTGATACCATTGTTGGGTCTTTCGCTAGGGATTTACTAGGGAAAGATAATACCAATGAGATATGAGTCCAACTCATATAAGGGATTGATACCACATTCAACCTAAAACCTTAAGACATTGGATTATGGGTATTTCTTTCTTATATGTTGTTCAACTTTCTCATTCTTATTCAATGTGAGACTTAAACTCACACTTGGATTACCCAACAAAAATTCCAAAGCAGAATGTAGTTTGACTTATGTAAATGTCACATTATGAATAGAAAGTAGATTGTTGTTAACCAACTAATGAATAAATTCCGAGTGATACATCTTGTAATGTATCAGTTAGAAATGTGTCACTCTAGATACACTATATAATGTATCACATTAGCTATACAATTATCTATGTCATAAGTGCTGCGAGGTGCATCAATTGTCCCATGGTGGAGGCCTGGTGGGTCAAGTCACATTTAATCGTGGTTTTGGGTTGTTGCACTCTTAAGTAAAAAGAGTTGTACCAAGACTATGAGTTATAGCTTTTGGTCTAGAGGTAAACACTCAATCCAAAAATTGATATTAGAGTTAAAGTTTGAGCGATTGAGTACGTGAGAGCTTGAAGAAAGTGATGACCAATTTGCAAACAGTGTGGTCCTGGCCCGGTTGACAAAAACAGTCAACTATAATAATTGGAGTCTCCAGATGAAGGTCTTTCTTGAATCCCAAAATAATTGGAAGATAGTCAATGATGGTTTTGAAGAACCAAAAAACACCGAAGAAATTTCAACAGCTGCAAACAAAGTGTTGAAAAAGAAACGTACGAAGGATAAGGTAGTTTTGTACATGGTGTATCAAGCAATTGATGAATCTGGCTCTGAGAAGATAACAAGTGCTAAAACTTCAAAAGAAGCGTTGGATGAGTTAGATAGAGCATACAAGGGTGATGATAGAGTCAAACGAGTTCAGCTAAAAACACTATGTGGCGAGATGGAGAACCTTTACAGTTGATGGCTGATCATAACCCAGCAAATTACAAGAATGTCCATTACAACTTGACAGTACACATGGGAGCAATTTACAGCTTGGAAGAATATGAAGGTAACAATGATGACTCGATATGGCATCTAGACACTGATGCAAGCAACCACATGTGCCGGAAAGAGCACCTATTCAACGAATTGGAGAAAGTTGAGGACAATCATGTGTTTTTTGGAGATGCTTCAAAGGTATCGATAAAAGGCCGATGTACGATCTCCTACTTGCAGCGAGATGGACTAGTTAGGTCAATTCGAGATGTGTACTATATTTCAAATCTCAAGAGTAACCTTTTGAGTATGAGACAACTTATAAAGAAGGAGTACTCAGTATTTATGAGAGACCGAGTACTAGAATTGAAGGACAAACTCAGAAAGTTGATTGGCCAAGTTGAAATGAAGAAGAACCAAATGTATAAGTTGAACTTGAGAAACATTCGTGAGAGATGCTTGAAACTTAACATAGAAGACACGTTGAAGAGGGACCATCGATATGGTTACCTACATTTTTATGGTCTAATCAAATTAATTAATGATGATGATCGTCGTGTTGATCGTGATGAAAACCAAGATCTAATGATTAACAAAGTTGAACTTGACCGAGTTAAATCTAAGTAGTAGATTTCGAAGTGACCCCCGAGTTTATTCATCATTGTATTCTTTTAAGAATAAAATTACTTTGAGAGACAAGCGTACAAAGGTGAGTCCAGAAGAGTGGAAGTATATTGGGATTGGAAGGTGCAGGAAAAAGAGGCAAGGCTACGATACCAATTATTAGATTGAGTACTTACCTCTAGACCAAAATCTATAGTGGACAGTTTTGCCACAACTCTTTCTACTTATGAGCGTAGAATAGCAACAACCCAAACACCACAGTTCGATTGTGATTTGACCCACCTGACCTCCACAATGCGACAACTGATGCATCCCACAATAATCTCCACCTCAGCAATTGTCCCGCTGGGAATCAAACTCGTGACCTTGACTCTGATATCAATTTGATAACAAAAAATCGAGGAAGCTAGATATTTTCTGTGATGTGAAAATTGAATGATACAATTGGGTATTTATAGGCTCAAAATGAGCTTTTTGCTTTAACTTCCTAGATTCGTAATCTCTAATATTTTGTCTACAATATCTGATAATTCAAACTAACATAAATATCTATTTAAACAAAATATCTAAACTAACCTAATATTTGACATTTAATTTTATCCAACAATAAGAACTATCATTATCACTTACAATGAATGAGTTACAATAATGGTAAATTGAGATAGACAGGCACTTATGAGTTTAGCAAATACCAATCAAGATGTTAAATTAGTTATATTTGTACATTTAAAATATTTCCTAGACAGGTGATTAGCAATGGCTATAAAGGAAAGAAAAGTTTATCTTTAACCATTCTTTTAATGCTTTGCACTTAGAATTATCAATTTCTCATGCACCTTTTTCACTTTATATAAACATACTGCCAATGCAAAATAAAGATGGAAAGAAGGATCATACCCCTTTCCATTGAAAATGTCTGAGGCATTGCTGGTGGAACCTTCACCAGGTTGAATGCCACTGAAGTTTGGAACAGATACTTTGCGGAGAAATGGTGACAAAAGTGGATCAGGCACAGTTTCATGTCTTCCGCTGGCAGGAAGTTTCTTGTCAAATACTACTGAATCACCAGACGAGGCGCTAGATTTGTCAGACTTCCAAGATCTCTATAGAGAGTACAAAATATTTATTAACATATTGAATTGACTTGGACAAGAATCAGGTTCTCTTAAAACCAAGAGTGAGCTAGATTACATTTTGAACCCAAAGATTCCAACATTGTGCTGGGCAATATTTACCTTACTTGAATTCTGTGCAACCCTGGCTGCATCCTCCCCTAATTTTTCATCACACACAGGACAGATCTGATATAGGAACATTAAAGCAGTCAATTAAAATTATAACTTCTATTACCTAAGTGAAATGTTCAGAAACATTGTCATTCTTTCCTAGCTTTTAACTAGTTAATTTTATCCTACCCTTTTCTTTTTCAGATCAGAACAGTGCACAGTATAAAGTAGATACATAAAATTTCTTTTCAGTATCATATACAATTAAACGGAAGCTATGAACTACAGTTTATAAACTGTAATAAAGTCAATGGACAGTAGGAAAAGGAAACAGAGTCTAACAAAAGTATACAACATGCTATGATGTTAGCAATAACTCCTGCAAAATTGAATTTCAAAATTCAGAACCGTCATACCATATTTCTTGGGTCATAGTGGGCACGGAGTGAAGCACAATCAATCTCAAAGTCACAGATAGGACATTGAAAAAGAGGTTTTGCATCATCATCCTCATCTGTATAATTGACCATTGAATATTTATCTGTATGGTTCAATTGGAATCCTCATCAGTGAACTATATCTGGCACAAGAGTTCCATTTTGAATGCCATGAAAGGTACATCTCAAAAGAAAATAGCAATAGAAAGATAAAATGTATTGTATGTTAGGCACAGCTACAAATGTACAAAATCAAAAAATCCTAGCAAGAAGGAAAAGGAACAGTGCGAAGGTTCCCTTATGTTTTTATGGTATGTTTAGGTGTAAAGAGGGAAAGATTAAGGGAAAAAACAGGAGGTTAAGAAATTAGTTTGAAGGTTAATCCCCTTATTCTAAAAATCTAGGTAACAAGGAGAATGTTAAATTATTCACCATTTCCCCTGCCCCTTCACCACTGCCCCCTTCTCGTCCATCTAAACATGCTAGAAATTTGCAGAGCACATCCAAAACTCAGGAAAAAGGTAAACCCATAGGATAAAAAATATTCAGAAAAGTACCAAATGTGAAAGCAAGCATTAACAGAAAAATTGATAGATCACACATTTAATTGGCCTTTAAGTCTAGGGCACCAACATTTTATCAATTACGTTTGTTACGTCCCCAATAAGGGAAAAAAAAAAAAAAATCACGTGAGCACAATTCAAAATTAAAACTTTTTCAATTTCACCTCCATAAGACTCAGAATCAGAACCATTCTCCTCCCCACCAATTAAATATCGTGAAGGCCCCCAAGTTCCATTAATTCTCCGCCCCAGTATATATGACTGAATTCCTTCATTGATGCTGCTCAGTTCAAACTTCAACTTGTCTAGATTCCACCTCAAAACAGCACCTTGAGGCTGTTGTTCCTTTGGAGAATCACACTCCTTCGTCATTACTCCAATTCACTTCGCCTTCTCACCTTTTTTTTTTTCTTCTTGCTGCTTTTAAGGTTTTGGAGAGGTTAATTATATACGCAACGATCTCACACGCAGTGAAGGAGCTTGTATGGTAAGAGCAGCAAATATGGAAAAGCTAGGCAGAACCCCCAAGAGTAGTTTGTTTTATTATCCTAATCAATCCCAAGTTCCCATAAAAAGAGAACCTTGAAATCATTACTGAGCGATTAAATTGAGAAGAAAAAAAAGTGTTAACCATTAAAGCCAGAACATATCCTGGCTGTCCCTTACATCAACCGTGAATTATCGAAACGGTTACTTGTAAATGATGTCCACTTGCAGTACAATCAATGGCAGAAACAAACATTCAAAGAAATAAATATTTTTCAAAGATAACCGTTCCTGATAAATGCAAACCCTCTAAGAGCAACACTTGATGCTTCTGAAGGAAAAGAAAACAGAAAAGCCGGAACTTCGACATTAAACCTTCCTCACTAGTGGACATGGGTTTTAATTCAGTTCAACGAAAGTTCAGTACAATTCCAAAGCAACCCAAATGCCCTCTTTCTCTTTTTCCCTCACCAGCACCCCGCAGGAAAAAAAAATAAAAAATAAAAATCTTTAGGACTTCATTTTCACACTCAGAGGAAAGATCAAAAGAAAAAGCACGTAAAATAAACACAGAGAGAAATGCAGCAGTGAAGAACAGAAAGTGAAAATGGTGTTAGAAGAACTACCAGTGTGAACGCGAGAAGCTTGGAGAGAGGGGAAGTGGTAGGAGGAATGAATAGTGGAAGCCCTGAAGTCCAAGTCCATGATGGTGGGAAGGAAGAAAGAGATGGGTGTGGTTTTGCTGTGGTGAAGTGAGTGATGAAAAGAGAATTCTCAACTCCAAAGGGAAAGAAACAAAGGGCAGGACATGCTTTCCCGTAAATATCATCATCACTCATCACTTCATCCGCTCCGATTGGTGTGGTCGGGTTTTGCTTACTCATTTCTTTGCCTTCTGACACTCTCAACTCTAACATCTGACACACTGAAACATTCACTATTCCTCACTCGCACGTGCCACTCTCACGTTTATATTACAATAATTATATTTACATAGTTTTTTATTTCTATTAAAATTTGTCCATAACGAGTGAATTTTGAACTGTATGTTATAATGGTAATACGGCTAACAATGCAGTAGATTGAATTAGTGTAAAATAAACCGAATAATATTTCCAAATGGTTTCAAAATTTTAAAATACTAATGTGTAGTAGAACAAAGTCTTGCGAAAGATGGTTTAAAATATAAAAAATATTACAGTTGAACATAAATCCGAAGAAATCAGTGCAATTATGTTTAAATGGATAAATAAATTGATTAGTTATCCTCAAATTTAAAAAGTCTAAAAAGCATTTAACACAAAATTTTAAAAATATTTATTTTATTTCTTGACATTCTTGAATCATGACAGAACATATAAATATAGTGAATTAATGAAAATGTAACTTTAGTGAAGATAAAGATCCGAGTCATGTTCACTTATGTGTATCAAAATACTTTCATTTTAGGAAATACATGTGTAAATCTTTTTTTTTTTTTTTTGCATGCATCTTTTTTAAAATAAATGTATTCTGATATCCAATGTTAAACATGACTCCAAGTTTTTATCTTTAAATCCATTAGGGTTATATTTTTGTTAATCCACTTTCTTTATGGGTCTATCATGATTCAAGAATGGAATGTGCTCTCTCATGATTATTGTAAAAAAAAGACATTTATTTTGTAGAAAGAGAAAAAGTAAATTGTGATGTATGTTTTTTTTAATATTATAATAAGATTACTTAGCAAGAAAACTTCGTAACGAAGTTTTCCTCATGCACAGTAAATTTTTGCTTTTATATATGCGCGTACTAAAGTGGGGGAGGAGGCAGAATAAAAATTTCCTCTCATCCTTCTTCTTCTATTGTCTAAATTTCAAGCAACGAGGATCTGGTGAAACGGGAGAGAGCTTGAATTAAGCGGGAAAGCTTCGGTAGAAATACCACACTAGGTAAGGGGAAGTTTAATTCATTCAATATATGAAATTGAATTGCTGGGTACTCTGTGAATAAGGAATAGGAGTACAAATATGAATTATTTGAATGTCTGATTTTGAAGAATTTCTGATTTTGATGAACTGTTCACCGTTTGAAAGTTTTTGAAATTCTTGAAATCAAGGATGAATTATATAATAAAATTGTTGTTTTTAACTTAAATTGAACATGCTTATGATTTAATTTTGATTTGGAACTAATTTGGGTGATTGAAACTAAGAAATTTGAAACCTGGATTTTGAAAATGGCGTACTGGAGGTGATTACTATTCATATTTTGCAAAGTTTTAAATATTGATTAAATTCTTAAAATTAAGGATGAATTATATGGTAAAATTGTTGTTTTCAACTTAAATTAGATATAATTCATGTTTAATTTCGATTTGGAACTAGTTTGGTTGTCTAAAACTGAGTAATTTGAAATCTGCCAAAATTTGGAAATTTTGACACTGTTACTCGGCGAAGGAAGAAGAAAGGGATATGGTGGGGATTTTTTTAAAAGATCAAGGGTAAAATAGTCATTTTACATCCTAGGGACATAAATGTAATTTTTGAAAATGTTCAAGGGAAAAATAGTCATTTTACATCCTAGGGACATAAATGGAATTTTTGAAATTGTTCAAGGGTAAAATAGTCATTTTCGGGACATGGAAGGAATTTTTGAAAATGTCCAAGGGCAAAATAGTCATTTTCGGGACATGGAAGGAATTTTCAAAAATGACCAAGGGTAAAATAGTCATTTAGGGACATACATGGAATTTTAAGAAAAGATTAAGGGCAAAATAGTAATTTAATGATTTTGAAAATGATTTCGAAAATAGTTTCAGAAATAGTTTCGGAAATGATTTCGGAAATGATTTTAGAAAAATATATATAAAGAGAGAGAGAGAGAGAGAGAGAGAGAGAGAGAGAGAGAGAGAGAGAGAGAGAGAGAGAGAGAATGAAAGTAGTGTGTTGTGACGTGTGTGGGTCAGACTGAGCCTGAGGGCTGATGCCCAGAATCAATCCTGAGACGTTATATATTGGCTAGACTGAGCCGGAGGGTTGGTGCCAGAATCAGTCAAATCCTATTTTATTGACCCGAATGAGTCGTGAGGACAGGTGGTCCAGAATCTGGCAAATGTGAATAATTTTTGTTATGTTTGAATGGTACCCGGGGTGGTACAGATTACATTAGTGTAATAACTATGTCGGAGGATTCTGAATGAGGTCCCAGATTTCACTGATTGGTCGGGTCAGGTAGACTACGAGATCAGATGGTGAGAAGTCGATGGGGGGGGATGACTGGTGGCGTGCTCGGAGGGATACTCTAGTATGAGTGATGAAGGGCACCAGTAATCCTACTCTGTGTGGAGGGTGGTCAGAATGGTACTGCGGGTACCGATCACAATGTGCCCACAGATTATAGCCTCTGAGTTCGGGCATAGTTTGGGTATATTTCTGGAAGGTGTCTTAGTGTGTTGATAATTTCGTAATTGATCATAATATATAATTATTACTTCTATATCTGTTTTATTATATCGAATGATTTAATACTTACCCCTATTTTTCCATGTGGATGGGACTGCGATGATCACTTTTATGTGGGAGCAGATCAGGAGTTGAGAGATGGAGATGTGACTACTGGACAATAGGGATAATTCAGTGGGATAGCTTCGAGGGAGCTACTTTTACATGTATAATATATAAATAAATTATGTTACTATATTTTGAGGTTCCGTTAGTGAACCGAAATTTCAATCTATGTTACAATTACAGTAATATAATGTAAAATAGATATCGTTATTTACTTGTTTACTACTTTGCGAAGATATCATTATAGTAGCGATTTCTAGGGTCGTTACAATAGTGGTATCAGAGCGGTAGTATCCTTGTAAATCTGTGGGGATGGGTAGTGACCCTATGATAAGTCCTTTGTGATTATACTCTGATATGTGAGTGTGTGTGAATGTTTGCTCTGTATTGATGGTTGCATTTGATATAGGATGGCACCGCGACCTCCTACTCCTACTCCTACTCCACCGAGTGTAGATGCCCTAGCCAGGGCAATGGAAATGTTGGCAGCTGCCATGCAGCAGCAGGCTACCTACCCGCAGTGGAGGCCAACTATGGCATCATCCTCTGCTGGATTTCACCAATCAGAGCAGATGGGACTGACTGAGTTCATGAGGCATAATCCGCCTCGTTTTGGAGGAGATTTGGGTCCAGATGCAGCAGAGAAGTGGTTGCGTGAAGTGGAGAAGATTTTTGAGGCTACCTTATGCCCGAAAGACAGGAAATTGACATTCGGAAAATACTTACTAGTGGATGAGGCTGAGTTCTGGTGGTCAGGGACTCAAAGGATGATGATTGCACGTGGGGAGGTGTGTAATTGGGAAACCTTCCGTGAGAGGTTTTTGGAGAAATACTTCCCTGACAGTGTTAGATTTCAGAAGGAGACTGAGTTCCTGAGTCTGAGACAGAGTAATATGACGGTGCATGATTACGCCGTACGATTTGAGCACTTATCTCGTTTCTACACAGGTACATCTTCAGAACAGTGGCTTTGCAGGAAGTTTGAGGAAGGCTTGAGGGCTGAGATCAAGCTCATGGTGGTTCCTTTCTCTATCAGGAGATTCCCAGAGCTGGTGGAGAAGGCGAAGACAATAGAGAGACTCCAGGAGGGAGGAGTCAGAGTGATGAGGACCCACTCAAGTGGGGTCCCGAGTGGGGGTAGTAGATCAGAGAGGAGGATGCCTTATTCACGCCCCCAGTCTTCCAGGAGTGGCAGTGTTACCCCAACACCTCGTGTTAGAATCGCGCAGCGGAATGTTCGCGTGGTCGGACAAAAACCAAGAGGGGGGGGTGAATTGGTTACTTAATAAAAATTAGGTTTTCAAAATTTTCCCAAATTTTACCGATTAAAAACTGCGTAAATGTAAATAGAGAAGAGTAGAGAAGATTACACAGTAGGTTTATACTGGTTCGGATCAAAAGACCCTACGTCCAGTTACTAATCACTCAAAAGAGGATTAACGCCGTCACTTAAGAACAAAGTTGTTACAACACAAATTATAATGAAAAAGATAAAGTTAAAGATAAAACCTCTCTTGAAATCCACAAGAGATGATAAACGACTTTCCCTGGAGACGGCCATGACACACAATCCACTAAGAACTCCACTTAGTGATTCTTATCGCTTCTAGCCTCACACCAAGTTTCCAAAAGCCCCGAAGAACGGCTTTCCCAGGAGACGGCCACAGCACTCAATCCACTAAGAACTCCACTTAGTGATTCTTATCGCTTCTAGCCTCACACGAGTTTCCAAAAGCCCCCTTTCCTTGCAACAAACAGTTCTCCGGCACTCACGACACTTAACTTTTGTATGGAAAGAGTTGTTCTTTAGTTGTTCATTGTTTACGAGTGCTAAAGCAGAGTTTAAGTAGGGAAATAGGGTTTAGGAATTGAGGATTTCGAAACTAGGGTTCTTGGTAATTGGGTTTTCGAAAATAGGGTTAATTTGAAATTTAATTTGAAAAAGCAGACTGAAATAATCGATTATTTGGAGTAATAATCGATTAAAACAGAGCCAAATACTTCAGAACCCAACCCTCTCTGGAATAATCGATTATTTGGTGAAATAATCGATTATCTGTACTGGACGAGTACAAAACAATCGATTATTTTCTTGTTTTAATCGATTAAAGCAGTGAGTTTGTATAGAAAGTGTTTTCTCACTTGTTTTAATCGATTATTTACCTATATAATCGATTAAACCTAGAGCTTGAATGATAAATTTGAGCTTTTTGAAGCTTCTAAGTTACGAGACTATGTACCGGCTATCTTAGACTCTAAAAATACAGACTCAATCTTAAATAAATCAGAGTTATTACAATACAATTATCACCAATCTTCAATCTTCAATATTCTAA